CTAAACCTGTTTCTGGGTTTGTTTCATTTTCAAACTGACCTTGTGACTTGACCTTTAAATAATCCTTTGTTCTGATCCTTATCTGCATAAACCTCTGTTGACAATCTTCAATCCATTCTTCCTCAGTTGCAAATTCTTCATCGCCATCCACTAACTGAATATATTCGTCGTGTTTTTCAACCAATTTCTTGTATAAATCTTCAAAATTAGCGAGTGATTCCTCAACTTCCGGTATAGGTCTCTCATTTTTCAATAAATAATCCAAGCCATTTCCTGCCCTTGTAACACTCGATTTTGCACATCTCCGCTTCTTTTTCGCTTCGTTTAACGCTTCCTTCGTTACTTCCGTCATTTTCTGAATATCCTTTAAGCCCTGGTCAACTAGAAATCGAATTTATGGCTCGCCAGAATCAGAAACGGTGCGTAAAGTGACCACAAATAATTTCCAAATATCGTATAATAATCAGTTTTAGTTGTAGTAATAATAATAATATTCGATCTAAAAGTATAAATACAAGAATTATCTACTGAATAAAGTAAATTAGTAATAATAAACAACATGAACTTACTTCTTTGGCCTATATCACTTTACAATACACCAAATATAAACCTATTTCTGAACGTTAAACCTCGAGTAAACAGCTTAAAACCAACGTGTTTATTTCCCGCTATTTTTCTGTCACGTGACTTTGTCTGTTCAATGACGTAGTTATTTATCTATTTTTAAATTAGCGAAACAATATCAATACGGAAAAAATGTTTTATATTTGTTTTATAATATAGCACAAAGAAATTTAAGAAAGAAATTTTCCGACGTTTCCGTGTTGACATTGAGTTATATCAACACGGCTCTTAGCCAATCAGCGTTCAGAATTTACAAATGCTATTATTATAAAATACTTCATTATATAGTAGAGAGGAAAATACTGAAAAATACACAGCGACATATATTTTCCATATCTTCACTAGGCCAGGATATCGATCACGTGACTTTTAGTATTTATACCATTTTTTGCTTGGGACTATATAATAAACAGAACATTACACGGTGGCTTGAAAATATGACTTTTATCTTCTCGTGTTAAAAACAATGTTTTACTCACTCGCTGCGCTCGTTCGTAAAAAATTGTTTTCACCACTCGAAGATAAAAGTCATATCTTCGCGCCGCCGTGTAATATCCTCTATGTATATAGAAAGAAGACATTTTAATTTTGCAGTGAACATCAATTATTTGACAACACATTCGCAGTTCTTTCAGTGCTATATTACACTTTTGACTTTTGTTATTATCTGATTTGTAGGAGGTACAGCACCGAACGTAGACGAAGAGTTGCGGTGTGACAAAAAGTGTTTGAAGATCGCCAACATTGACCCTGATATCCTCATCAGAGTTTGCAACCTGCTTAACATTGAACAGGTATTGGGTCGGGATTGGCGAACCTTGGCTGGGCGACTCGGCTATGACGTAACGGACGTTAAGGTACGAACTGTAGCAATATTTTAAAATTTTAATACATACAGCCAAAAAAATGACATAACCCATGAAGTGGATAAGGAGCTGCCAGCCTGAAATTTATCTAAAATTCAGGGCGTTTTGGCCTACAGTACCGTAAACCTCCGATTATAAGCCCCCCGAATATAAGCCCCCCCCCGAATATATAAACCCAGTAGCCCACTACGTTACTCAACATTGACATTGTCTTTTAATATAGCAGAGAACTGTTTTTGAACAGATCGATGACAATATTTAAAAACATTGCCATTGTCTTTATAGCCCACTATGTGAATCAAAACGCGTTATATTAATACATGTTTATTTTCCTGTTTATGACCGACTTGTTTATGTCTGACTTGTTTATTACTAACACAAAAAATCGTCCATGTATAAGCCCCCCGTATATAAGCCCACCCTTGTATAAGCCCATCAAAAATCGCTTACGAAAGTATATAAACCCAGGGCTTATAGTCGGAGGTTTACGGTATTTTGCCGGAGTTTGTTTAACTCGGCGAAAAAACCTGAATCCTGCATCGACGAAAAAGTAACCTCGTATTGATATATTGCGTAGCCGTAGGCTTGCTTCACACATAGTGTCATTATACTATAGTACGAAATGTTCATGCATGCGGAGCCTCTTTTTTTTGGCCGGGGGTGAAAAAGAAACATGGAGTTTGCACAGAACTACGTAATATATACAATCACCACTTCACTTCATGTACAAGCTATATACAGCGTACATTAATTATTTAATTAATAGTATACATGTACAGTAGCTACTGTATCAAAAACATTACAGAAAATTCATATTTCAGCAGTGTTGTTTTACCTTTATATAAGATATTTAAGTGCAAGGAAAATCATGCCGAAAGTATGCTAAACGATTGGGACAACCGTGACCAGCATAATTATCTCGAACATGTTGTGAAGGAACTCCGTGAAATGAGAAGAGCCGATGTTGCTGATTTACTGCAAAAAGAAATCGATAAAAAAGGAGACAGTTGCAACTGCGCAGACTGTGGACATTTAATGTAGTTTAAATTCAAATTCACTGTCATGCTATATTTTCTTGTAATTTTTTAATCCAACATACTCAGTGGCGGCGCCAGGAGGGGGGGGGGGA